AAGAGAAAAGTAAATTTTATGGTACTATTGATGCAAAGGGTATAAAATAGACAAAAGGAAAACACCACATAAAAAGTGCAAGAATAACAACTTTACAACTTTGGGGGGGGGGTGGGGGATTGGGTGGGGGGAGGTGGGGGGAGTATAGGAAGGGATGGTAAGGGGAAACAAAGAGGAGGCAACAATGCTTGATAAGAAATGAGAAACAACATCATATTCTATAAGAGGCAACAATGCTTGATAAGAAATGTACTCATTACCTTGCTCATGTAATTGTAACCCCTCTATATGGTATTTTCACAATAAAAAATAAAACAAATATATTCTTAAAAAAACAAAATAAATAAATTTTTTAAGTGCAAGAATAAACAGGAGGTGGGGCTGGGAAGGTGGCTCATTGGTAGAGCGCTTGCCTTGCATGCTGAAGGCCCTGAGTTCGATTCCTCAGCACCACATAAGCAGAAAGAAAAAAGCCGGAAGTGGCACTGTGGCTCAAGTGGTAGAGTGCTAGCCTTGAGCTGAAGAGCTGAGGGACAGCGCCCAGGCCCAGAGTTCAGGCCCCACGACCGGACCAAAAAAATAAAATAATTAAAAAAAAAAAAAAAGAATAAATAGGAGGGGCTGGGAAGGTGGCTCAGTGGTAGAGCGCTTGCCTTGCATGCCTGAGGCCCTGGGTTTGATTCCTCAGCATCACATAAGCAAAAAGAAAAAAGCTGGAAGTGGCACTGTGGCTCAAGTGGTAGAGCGCTAGCCTTGAGCTGAAGAGCTGAGGGACAGTGCCCAGGCCCAGAGTTCAGGCCCCACTACCGGACCCAAAAAAAAAAAAAAGAATAAACAAGACATCTATCTTTGTCCTTTTATTTAGTAATTAATAGTATTAGTCTCCTTTTAACTACTATAATGAAATACTGGAGTCGGGCTACTTTATAAAGAGGTTTATTTTGGCTTGTTTCAGGGCTATATCTAGTAATAGCCTTCTCCTTGTCAGAATCCCTAGATACACCGAACATCATGTGACAAGAGATAAGGAGTCAATGTGTGTGTGTGTGTGTGTGTGTGTGTGTGTGTGTCTTCTGGTTTCTTCTGTAAGGCTGTCAGGAGGAGTCCATCATGAGAGCTGGACCTAAATGATCTCATCTAATCCTGATCATCTCTCAAAGATCCTATCTCTAGATACCATAGTAGGATTAAGTTTCCATCCTCAAGGCCTCACAATGAGAGTTAATTTGAAGTAGGCTGAAGCCATAACCAGGTCACTCATTTCTTGGGTGAAAAGTCTGTTTATCAGATGGCAGAGTCAAGATTCTTCCTGCACTAGCTATAAAAGTTGATAAAAGATAACTTCAAATGGTCTGCCACTTTCACTCTTCAGAACTAGATTTGAAGGAAGCAGATCCCTAGCTAGGCTTTTGGGAAAAGTACCTCTGCAAGCGCTCCATAAACCAAAGGGTCCAGGGTAGAGCAAGCGTGGCAAATGCTATATGGCATCTCCTCAGAAAGTCACATGTGATAATGTAGTAGAGCATTGAGAGACCTATTTGTGAAGATGAGTGCAAAGACCTCATCCTATTACTTAGTGACACCTGTCTGTTCGGATCCATTCTCACTGTGCATTACATGGAGCCAGAAAATCCCTGCCTGCAGTTCTGAGTGAATTATTACATGGTGTTAAGTCCAGGAGGCAGTACAGAAAAAGATTATACCCCCTGCCAACATTATGGACTGAATAGTATTTATCAACCCCCCCCCAAAAAAAAGGTCAGAAAGAGTCTCTTTACTATCTCCCAGAGAGACCACAGAGTGGCCCCATTGGTGCACATTGCCAACGAGTACTGAAAGCTTTCTTTCCAAAAGTGAAAGTCTTGTATCCTGGAGGCCTGATACAGTGCCTGGAACATATGTAACACAACAGCAATACTTCATGAATAAACTAATGATTTCATGCTGTGACCCATAGGGTTGGAGCACTCCTGAAGTCTATTTCTTTAAAATAGGGTTCTGATGTACCCTAGTCTAAGATAAAAGCAAGAGGAAAAAATAATAGAGGGAAAATATAATGAAACTCTGTTGCACAATTACTATATGTTAATAAAAAAGTAGTAGGAGTGTAATGCCCCATCTCCAACACTCAACACTGTAAGTCAATTTCTAAAAGGCCTGATTCATAAAATTACACTCAAGAACTTCTATAAACACTATCCAATTACTATATTAACTTTCCTAAACCTATTTTACTTCACATTTCAATACACTATTCCATTTGAAACACTAAGAGTATTTAAATGTCATAACTATATTGAAATAAAACCTATAACATGCTTATCACATGACCCAGCTAGTAGAAGGCAGAAATAGCTATTCAGTTCAGATGGATGAGTGTGGGTGAACTATGGAAATTATAATGTTCACACTGACCCCTGGTGGCCAACTTGTTATAGGTGACGTTTTTCCCATTGTATTTCATTTTGAAATAAGAGAATGAGTTCTCTGATTTTCAAGGGCCCTGCTCACTCACTGTATGAAGGCCAACACACTTCACTGCTCTGGTATTTTAATGACATATACTAAATGTCACTTATCCATATGGTTCCTAGGCTCATATTTCAATTACCTAATACAGTTTGTAATCCTAGTTTCTATACTCATGCAGACAGACTTGTCGGGTTTCTAGAAGTAAATTAGAATGGACTGTGAGCAGAGCACATAGCTATATGATCCCGGTGGTGTTAGAAATGGTCTTCCTTCCCCTCTCATGCTCATTTTATTATTCATCTTGTTAGGATTATAAACTCAATGGATATTTGTTAAAAGGCTTGAGTAATTCACCTATGGGTGATGTAATTGAGTTACATGCCTTGTGTATTTTACTATCTTACTTCCCCCTTCATAGGTTTAAGTAGATAGATGCTAAATTAATGTTTTCAAATCCTTTTATTAATATGTAGCATCTTCTCTGAAATAAAAATGGACAACTCCATTTTATGATTACCTTGACAGGAAAATCACCAAGGAATACAACTAGATATGTCATCAAACTACACGAAACCCAGCCCATTTGCCCACCCAACCCATGTCCTTAACAGTGTATACACAGAGGTATTCAGAAATGGATTAAATGAACAAAACAGCAAACAAAGTATTGATGTCATATGCCATGTGGATGAACAAAAGAAAACAGGACAGTCTTATTCTGAAGTAAGAAAAGCTTGGAATAAGATTGTGGGGTTGAAGACTTACCTCATTATTATAGGGAGCAGCTGAAATAATGCAAGTAAAAATTCTACAGCAATGATTACATACTAGTCACAGAGAACAGCTTAAATATGACAAGTGGAGCTATGGGTAAAATAACACAAAGCCAGCAATTAAGCTACATGATGGAACTGCAGGAGTCCCAGGACAAGAACAGATGTATTCAGTATTCACAGGGGGCTATGTGTTCATAGACTATACTGGGTAAAGGGCATCAATGAGCCTGATCATCTAAAGAGGATTTCATTGAAAAGAACTTACAGTACAAAGCACCTTGTCTTGATTTTATTGTTAAAGAATAAACTATTAATACAGAAACTAACTCAGGGTACGAAATAAGAATGTTTCACTTTTCAAAGTTTCTATGGCAAAATGAGCACAAGCCAGCAGTTTTGAGTTTCAGGTAGTCTTTCCAAAATTTATTCCCGCTTGCCCTGTGTAGTTACAGTTCAAAACAGAAACTTGAGAAATGGCAAGGGGCCAGCTAAGAACTGAGAGCACTCAAGTGAGCTATATGTGACCATTTTCCAAATCAGATTATATTGCTATATAGGCTTTTGTTAGTACGTAAGATTTTAGAAAAATCTTGTAATATATAGCACAAAGTAACTATTGCATGGTTTTCATATACACTGAGTTGTCCAGGAATGCAATTGTTGTGTAAATCAAGGCAAGACTTGGGGCGGGGAGTTGTGTACAACATTACCAAGAGTTGTTTAGTATTTCAGAAAGTCATTTCCAGTGACAAGATGTGATCTTATGCCATCAATATATCAAACATTGACCTGTAGTTGTAGCTAGTGATGTTACATGCAAAAACTGCATAAAATTAATCATCTGATACCTTCATTTTATGTTCTATAATGGCTATACCAATGATTTTTATTGAAATATATTTTATTGTTACTAAAATGCTTTCCTTTTCTTCTGCTTTACTTGGTAGTTAGTATATGTGGGTTAAAATTACATGTATATATATGTGCATGTATATGTATGTATTTCATATCTATTTCTGCTTTCCTTTCAAGATACGCAAGAAAAATAGTTGTATAGTTGTTATAAAAAGTTGATAGTAGTCTCTGACATATTTCTTTCCTATACTTTTCTATCTTTTTTTAATGGATGTATTGAGTCTGGTAGTAATAAGAGAAGTACTAATCTCATCCAACATACTCACTACAATGAGAAAGGTTCAGAGAGATGAAGTAACTTGTTCAAGGCCACAAAGTGAGTCAATGACTAAAGATGTCTAGGAGCTACTGAGCTCCTTTCAATGAACATTACCTGGCCTCAAAGAAATAACAAAACACAAAGAGGAAGAAACTCATACCTCCGCATGACTTAGTGATGTATGGAAAAGTGGTCACGGAGAAGCTCATATGTAAGGCTGGCTTGAATATTTTTTTAAAAAAAGCAGGAAGAACATTACTTATCCCAAGTCTATATCAAAAACATTTTTATCTTGACCTTGAACTTTCAAGAGTACTTCATAATGAAGAAGTTAAGGAAGAAACTCAGTTCGCAGTCAATAAATGCCGCCTTAGGGCTGGGAAGGTGGCTCAGTGGTAGAGTGCTTGCCTTGCATGCCTGAGGCCCTGGGTTCGATTCCTCAGCACCACATAAGCAAAAAGAAAAAAGCCGGAAGTGGCACTGTGGCACAAGTGGTAGAGAGCTAGCCTTGAGCTGAAAAGCTGAGGGACAGCGCCCAGGCCCAGAGTTCAGGCCCCACGACCGGACCCAAAAAAAATAAAAAATAATAATAATAAATGACACCTTAGTTTGGAGCCTTGAATGGAGTTCAAGGAGGTCTGAACTTGCAAACAACTAGGTGAAGCTGATAAAGGACAGCTCCCCAGTAACTTTATATTTATATTTAACACATACATTAAAATAGAAAATTCCTAGGAGATAAACACAGAGTAATTAATATTGATCTCAAGTTGGCCTCAATCAAATCATTCATCTGAAAGTTGACTTTGACATGTGGTTCTCCACTAACCCAAATGAGACTCTCTCCAAGTAAGAATAAGCAAACCAATTAAAATTATGTTATACGTTATTATCTTCTACATTTAACTTCAAATCACTGCTACTACTGCTCTAAGTTCTCCAACCTGAGACTGGCACTAACCTCCAAGCATTAAAAGCCAATTTAAACAACCAATTTTGGTTTCAGGTTAAAAGTTAATATAAGCAATTGTAGCATTTATAATAGGTAAACTGAGCAACTTAGCCTTCCTTTTAGATTTAGCATGATAAGCAGAATTTCTACTTTTGTCCATAGGGTTGCTATAAAAGAGCCCCATATTTCAGAATGGAAATCCTGAATCTATGTAATGGACTTTGCTTCGAATGAATATGATCCTAAATGCCTATACAATCGTTTTTATGAAATTAATGGAATTTGTACCTAGAAAGTATAAATCAAATGCAATGTACCTAAAGTTACAAATGCGCTAAGACAAAACGTTTAACTCTCTGTGTGGAGTGATACACGGAATTGCCTTTTCATATCATGTTAAGTGAGGTCAGAGGCAGACAAGGCAGGCAGGCAGATGGAGGCACTGGAGAACTTGGCTGTTACCCTGGAGTGTGGCGAAGGAACATGTCTGGTGGCTTTAAAATCCTAGGGAGAAAAAAAAATATAGAGGCCATTACTGATGGTCACTTGTCTAGATTTTTTTTATGCAAGTACCTATATGGAAAATGGGTACTCAGTCTGTTTGTAGCAATTAAACCTCCCAACATAACCCACAGGATTCCTATGGGTTCCATCCATGAGAGAGCCCAGAAATGAATGATGGGGGTAGAAGAAAAGATATTCCCTAGGAAGCCAAACATTCATCTTGCTGCAAAATGCTAAGCACTTGAAAGAGTATAAAATAGTATCTTTATGATCCATCTTTATGATCTCACTTACTTGGCAACAAACATCTTATTGGAGAAGGACTCCGGCTTCGAGACACCTGGAAGACATAAGAGTGTAATGTGAACTACATGGTGAATGGAGCTCAACAAATGAATGCTTTAGACATATCCTTTCCATAAAACTAACCAATTCGTTGCTCTGAAGTACTTTATAATTATGATTTTTCCCTTTAAGGCTGACCACTGTGATTTCCGTTTATGCTTTCTTTTTAAATGGGTACTGCTTTTGATTTAGATTATGTTAGTAACTAGATAATGTTAGTTTAAACTACATTGTTAATTAGATGCTGGGTTCAATGGCTTAAAAGCAACCATATTGAATTTACTGATTTCCACAAATTATTATTATTGCAATTAACTAACAAAAGCTAAAATGGTGATGCACTGAAAGAGCCTTTAGAAAAGTCATCTCTCATATGTCCAAAATTTTCTCCTATATAAGGAAGGTTACCAAGCAGCCAGAAAAGAATCATTTTTCAAATCTTCACTTTCATTAATCTAGAAAGACTAAATTGTAAATTGTATGACATTGACTACAAGCATCATTTTTGCTCTGAGCTTCAAAGGCCTTATATAAATACATGCTAATGAAGATGGAATCTGTTACTGAATCAAGACTTAAATAAGCCAAAAAAGCAGACTAACTAAAGTATTTGAATTCTGTTTGACAGGTAGATCTAATTTCATTGTAAGGGAAGGGTAATGGAAAAAGAAGGAAAGTTAGGCAGCAGTTTCACCACTGAGAAATAAGATTTCTTTGTCTCAAGCTTAAATGACTTTGTTCTCCCTTAGCATGGGAAAAGAAACAGGGAGAAAGAAGTACATATTCATCAGTGTTTATCTACAGAGGACATTTTGGTGAAAACTTCCAACGAGAGTCTAAAGTGAGCCATAGTTAGAACACAGGAAGTACCTAATATTACTCAAACCTCTGATAGCAGCACTCTTAGATAGGGAGATCTTTAAATCTCCCCAGTTATAATGCTCCCAAGATTTTTTTCCTTATCAATCCACTAAATGCATTAGCATTTGGCTTTTGCCTAATAGTGTAACTACTTAGATATTTATGAAAATAGATATTAAGCAAAAGGATGACTCTTCTACTTCCCTAGAAATTCTTCCATTGTTTTCTTCCCCTGGTGAAATTCCACTCCTAAAACAAACCAAATCAATTACCAACTCTAGCCTTCCTATATGGAGAGCCATTGAAAAGGGGAGATAACCATTATTGGTCATTTTCAGGTCCCTCCAGAAAACAGCATCCATCCAAAGAAATGTGTATTTGAGCCTGTAGTGGTGTTTGAGTCTTGATCCAGACTTACACTCAAAAGGCTTTGACCTAACATTATTTAGTTTTTAGCTTTTTTCTTTTTTTTTTTTTTTTTTTTGGTCATGGGACTTGTACTCTGGGCCTGGGCACTGTCTCTGAGCTCGTCAGCTCAAGGCAAGTTCTCTACCACTTGAGCCACAGGGCCATTTCCATATTATTTGTTGAATAAAGGAAGGACTAAGTTGTAATGATGTTTTGGGGGATGTTACCTCCATATTTTTCAGAAAGCTCTTGCTATTATTTTATTTTTGATTGAACTATTAATACACCTAATAACTAATGCTAAACTCATTTTTCTACTTCAAAGTTGGGAACATTTAATGCCCTTTTAATCCCTTTTCAGAGCATTAAAATGTAGATAATTCTAGCAATTGCTCTAAACTGTACAGTACTTTCTCAATTAAACTGGGAATTGAGCCCAAACCAGGTGACTAAGGTACCCAGTTTTCTATTCAGAAGATTATCAGATCTTTAATAGCCATGCCATTCAAAGTTAAAGAAACGTTACTCCTTTAACTAAATAGGTTTTTAAAAACTACCTCTATTTCTAAAAACTACCTCTATTTCTTTTTTTTTAACATCCTAAATTCCTTAGCCCATAATGATAAAAAAATCATTTCAGGGTTAATGTTATTCCAACAGTGTCTCTTTCTACTTTTTATAGTCACCTCTTTTACAGGCGACTATAAAAATTTTCAATCATAAGATGCTTGGAATAAAAATGATTGGACAGATATGTACCGTACTTAACCCAATGTGGCTACGTGGGTAGATGGGACTTAAACTCCTGCTTCGACAACGACTTACAGACCGCATCGAATTCCACTAAAACGAGAAAAAGAAATGGGAGTGAGTGAAGGTCTTTATGGTTAAAACAACATGCATATTCCATCCAATAAGAGGCTTTACTGACAGCATTGTACTTTGCTATGTCTATTCACCAGTATGATCAACTTTCATTTCCTACAGCTGTCCAACATCTGGCAAACACTTTTTAAACAAAACCCCATTGTAACAGATTTGGGAAATATTCAGATCTTTGATGTGGTAGGATTTTTACGAGGTTTTGTGTGTGAGAAATCACATTTGAGTTTGCAAGTGAGTTTGCCTCCATGTAGGTAAGGATTTGTGGCGTTTTCATCATTGTTAAATCCTCTAGCACCTAGGTGTGGTGCTTGGGTTATGAATAACTATAGAATAAATAAATATCACTGAATGAAACAACACAGTGGGGCTTGTGAAATTCATCAAATTTCATACATCATGTACATGTGCTACTGTGTGTTGTCAGTAGTGGGGCTTGAACTCAGGGCCTGGGTGACATGTGTATTTTTATTGTGTATTGATACTTCAATAAAGCTGTCTTTAAGAAGCAAGAAAGAAAATTTTATTCACTAAGATTTTATAGGTAAAATATTTCTTTGAACATTTCCCTTCATTCAACTCTCTTTCTCAAGTTCTTCCTTTTACCCCTTTTTTTTAAAGGTTTAAGTTTGAACAAATGTTGGTAATATATTTGAAAGAGAAGGAAGTTAAGAAGCAATAGCTATTTGACATAGAGCTTAAAATCTGTGGCTCTTTTCTCTCCCTCCTTTCCAAACTGTACTGCAGCTAAGTTTTTTAATAGAGAGTAACTATTGTCGGGGCAAGAAACATGTTTCATGGCGATATATGGTTGTCAGACCAACTTTCATAGTATAAAATGTTTTATTCAGCCAGAATTTACTGTAATAGGATTTTTAAGCTACAAAAACCCTTATTACTAAATTCTATGAAAATAAACTTCTCTCTGTACTATCTGCTGATATGACCACTTCCTCTATGGTTTAGTTCAAGGAAAACAAGAAGCAAGCCATTAAGATGGTGGCTTTGCTCTGGACCAAAGGGCCTCACTTCAGAATTTGCCTAACTTTCTACGAAAGGCAGAAGTAAACAACACATTACATGAACTGTGCAGAATATCTAAGCAGTCATTGCACTCAATTCCTCCCATCCCAACCCTCAGGAACACACACACACACACACACACACACACACACACACACACCCTCCCATCCCAACCCTCAGGAACACACACACACACACACACACACACACACACACACACACACACACACACACACACACACACACACACACTCCATTTTGAAGTCTGCTCCAGTAGGAATCAAAAACTGATTGGCTCCTCTCACCCTACATTCCCTGACCCTTTTACTCCATCCCTCCCCCTCCTTATACATCATACCAAGGAGAGAAAAATGACATATGTTTAATCTACTAAAATGGAAAATTACTGATAAAGAAAACAACTGGCAAACTATTTCCTAAAAACTAATTAATCACTTTTAAATACATAGGATTATAGAAAGCCTCCAACAAGATAAAAGACAAGGGCTTTGGCTTGAAAATATCAAAATATATCTAAGTTGAAGAATTAAATATGAGTAATTTCTATCATCTAAGTAGATCAAACAAAGAAACTGTTGCTAGAAAATGTTGAAGATATCTTGAGGGAAACAAAAAGATATTATTTCCATAGTCATCTCCTTCCTCTCCTTTGTATGAAATTTTATCAAGCAATTCTTAATCAACTCCTTTTATAGAATCTTTGGGTTTATAAATGTTCTCGAACTTGTGAAGCAAACACTGGGGATGAATTTTCACTATGCAAGGCCACCGTACAAAAGCCCCTCTTCTGGTGACAGCTTCTCCCTTCATAATGACACAGTCGTTCTCCATGAGAGCAGGCCAGACGTGATAAAAGACCAAAGGAGCAGCAAAATCTGAGTCATAGCTTCGGCGGTACCTTTGTAAACAAACAAAACAACAGGGAAGAGAAATCAATTATCTTGCTATTGCTGCTGCTAGTGGTCAACCCCAAGGCCTTGGGTACACTAAGCAAACACTTAAATCACTGAGCTAAATCCAAAGCCAGAAGTTAGGCAGTTACACAGCACAAGGGGGGAAATCTCAGCATAAAGTTTTGGTTTTGATTATGCTTAGATCTAGATAAATATGGATTCTGATTCTACTATTAAAGAAATGGGTTTGGGCTCTTAGCACAGGAATCAGTACCAACTTGAACCCAGCATAGAATGGCTAGGTACTAGCATGTCCTATTAAGCCAATCATTTTCCTTTTCTTCGTAGGATTAAAAAGGTGGCAAGTCAGGAAAATGCTAGAATCACAGACAATTTGAAGTTCTATAAGGCTTCTTATGAGATTTTTCATGTTGTCATTATGAACAAAATAAAAGAAAAAAAACGGGTGGATGGTTAACATAACTGGAAACAGGGTCAATAATTATACTCCCCAAAAGGATAATTAAATGGACTGGTGAGAGCTGAGGGCCCTCTCAATCTTATGGTAAATCAATATGCTTATCAATAACATGTATGAAATATACTCAGTGTTAAGGGTGCAGATAGGAAAAAATAAAATAGCTCAATTAGCCTGAAGAATAAGTTGGACCTAGTAAATCAAAAGAAAGTGTGAAAACATATAAGGTCCTACAACTGAATCCAGAGAGAGAAAATACATGGTTTGACCATAGCAAAAGTAAAAAACAAAACAGGTAAGTTTCAATTTTACTCAAAAGGACTCAATAGTGTTTGGACACTAAAAAAAAAAAAATAACAGACCATACAAATTAGCCAAAGGAATGCAGAATAAGAATAAAAGGGTGCTGTCTGGGTACTAGTGGCTTATGTCTACAATCCCAGTTATTCAGAAGGCTAAGATCTGGACAATCACACTTCCAGGTCATCCTGGGGAGGGGAGGAGGAGAAGAGACAAGTTCACCACACCCCCATATCTCAATGGAAAAAGTTGGCATAGTAGTACACAATTGAGTCATCCCAACTATGTTTGGAAGTTTAACAAGAGGTTCCCAGTCCACGCAAAAAACAAGGTCCTACACCTCAAAAATAATCATAGCAAAATAGGGCTGGAGATGTGACTGAAGCAGGAGGGTACGTGCACAGCAAGAGTAAATCCCTGAGGTGAGGCCCATATTCAATTGCAGGGCAGATAAGTGAAGTGACATGCCCAAGATTACACAACTAATAATTGATACTTGGTGTTCTTGAGCACTAGCTCAGCCTCTTCCAGGATTAATTTCCAGATAGAACTGTGATCTCATTAAATCTCAATAAACATTTTCAGTTCATTTCTTCTAATTTACAAAGGGGATATTTACTATGTAAAACCTGTCAGAAATCCAGTAGTCATAGACAAGAGTTATGAGCATTCATTTTCAAACACCCATTTGCATACAGCCCACTGATGTGACTGTGAGATCTCAGCTTGCTGAACTCCATTATCAACCTCATGTCAAGGAATGTGGTACAGGGAACATGTGTTTTACACAAGAAATCTAGTCTGGCCACGTGCATGTATAAAACATCTGTCTCTTACAGTGCTCAAGACAGGTTCCAGGTACTTGATAACTTCTCCAACAGCCCATATGCTTAGTGGAGAATTAACCCAGAAAGGAGTACTACTTGAAATACAGAGAAGTCCATGGCAAAGCCTACAAAGGAGGTAATAACTATTGATTTTCCCAGCTGGAATCCCTTCTCCTAAGTGTTCCCAGGAAAGAGACAAGCCAATTTATTAATAAAGAGTCCTTAGGTTCTACCCGTGCCTCTTACTTGCAATCATTAAATACTTCTCCATCAGCCCCGAATGCAATGTCAAGAGGTGGGTCTAAAGACTGCATTGCAAAAGCAATGCAGCAAATCTCCTGGATGAAGTCACTGAGGAGGCAAAAGTCAACTTCAGGAGGGAAGGAGATCTTAGGGTTGACATTCATGGCTCGGATCACATCCTGAAAAACAAGAGATAGCATTATCTGATTGTGAACCTATCCTGAGGATTCTGACATGAGTTTAGACTAATGGGAGGTAGGAAAAGGGCCTGTGAGTAAAATAAGCTTTAAAAAGAACAGTGCATGCTCTCCTTGCTAATAGGGGGAAAAGGAAAAGTTTCACAGAGTATAAATGAGATGCTAAGATTTAAAGAAATTTTACATTTTAAATCCAGTTAGCTCCTCAGCTTTCTACTGTAAGTGTATGAGGTGCCAACATACAACTTTGACTTGTTTCTAAGCTATAGTAATAACTAAAAGAGGGCTCTCTTATCGAATATTCACTACATACCAAGTCTTATGCTAAATAAATCACCTTTCTTTCACTGAATACCTCCATAACTCTACAGGATAATGATCACTGTTGTTCCCATTTAAAGATTAAAAAATGAAAACATAAGCATGTACATAAGCAAGTAGGAGAGTCAGGATTCAACTTCACACTTATTTCCCAAAGCCCTTGCTCTTAAGGACTAAGATATTCTATCTCCTAATCTTTTGTTCTTCATTCATTTTTCCTTTTTTATTATTTTAATTTTCTTTTTTTACTTTTGTTGTTTTTGTTGTTGTTGTTGGTTGTAAGGCTTGCACTCAGGGTCTGGTACTGTCCCGAGCTTTTTATGCTCAAGTTGAGCACTCTACCACTTTGAGCCACAGCGCCACTTTGTTTTCTAGAGTTTAATTGAGATAAAGAGTCTCACAATTTTTCCTGCCCACGCTGGCTATGAACCACCATCTTCCTGAGTAGCTAGGATTACAGGTATAAACCACCAGCACCCAGCTTTTTAATTTTTAAAAAAAATTCTAAATAGTACCACAAAGCCTAGAACATTTTCTCCCATAAACTGTCCAAGAAAAAAAAAAATAAAGACATGCTATATACTGTAAATTCTTTGTCATTCCTTTCTACTCTTCCATCAGGATGGGTTCCTGTATTATCAGTATTTATTGTGTCATTCAGCCACAAACTAGTCCTAAAGGAGAGACCCAATACTTACATTAACACTGCTTTGGGAATCATATAGATCAAGGTGACAAATGATATACTCGGAGACAGCAGTCTCAAAGTCATTGGACCCTACGTAAGACGGCGTCAGTGACTTCCTCACCCGGATCTTGAAATGTCGGAATGCCATTTTAGCCACGTGGAACGCCTCCTGCATAAGAACACAGGAAGTTTGCCTGGTGATAGGAGGAGGTGAAATCACCTACCCACAGAAAAGAATTAGAAAGACTAGAAATAGAGCATTGTATCAGTCCTCAAGTAACTAAGCACCATAGATCATAAAGACAAAACCTGAGATAAAGAAAAAAAAACAACTCTCAATTTTCAAAGTATATAAATACATATATGACAACTTGCAATCACTAATTTCAAAACAAGTGACTATTATTGTCCTAATTCTGAGTGAGTGCAGGAAACAGGGCAGTGCAGAGATTTGGGGACAAAATACTCTGTTGTAAACACAAGCAAAAAGTAAAAGAAAATTTTGTTAGCCTTGTATTTACATTATATATCATCTCAATAAACGTTTATTTCATGTCTATTATATAGCAAGCACTAGGGAAACTAGTTTTTTAAGACAATGATGCTCACACAACTTTAATTCAGAAGGTAATTCTCTTTATTTTTTTGTGCAGGTCCTGGAATTTGAACTCAGGACCTAAACATTATCTTTGAACTTTTTTGCTTAAGCCTAGCACTCTACCTCTTGAGCCACAGTTTCACTTCTGGCTACTTCTGGTAGTTATTGGAGCTAAGAGTCTCTCACAAGACTGGATTTGAACCTCGATTCTCTGATCTTAGCCTCCAGCTAGGATTATAGGCATAAGCTACCGGTGCCCAAGCTACCGGTGCCCAGAAGTGATTCTTAATTATATATACCAGGGTTGGCAAGTTTTTTTCCTACAAAGAGCCAGTGTTTGAGCTTTTCAGTGACTGCCGCTTTTTTTTTTTTTTTTAATTCTCACATCCCTTTAAAATATAAAACCATTCTTACCAGGAGACTGAGCAGGGAGAATCAGTTCTAGGCCAGGCTGGGTTACATACTGAGACTTTTTCTCAAACAAACATTCTTAACTTAGAGGCACTATGTCTCAGAAATACAAGCTGGATCCACATGGCTCATAAGCCATAGTTTGCCAATCTCTGACCTCCGATATAAATGAGTAAATATGGATTTCTGATCATTCTGTTCTCATATTAACCTTCTGCTTTTTTTTTAATTGAACTATCTCAAAATAGACTCTTCATGGGCTGGGATGGAGCTCAGTGGCAAAGCACTTGCCTAGCAAGTGCAACGTCCTGGGTTCGATCCCAGTACCAAAAAAGAAAAGACAAAAAAAATAGACTCTTCATGTCTCAATAGGGCACCCATTCATAAAACAAATGTGTTCACTGCAAAATAACAGTTTCACGTGTATGTTTTTAGTTTGCCATAATCAAGTAGCTGACATGCTCATAGTTTTGGTTATAACTGTTAAACTAACCTGCAGGAAGGCCATCCAATGAGAGTTACTTGCAGTGATAAATCGACTGTGCACACATATGCTCACGTGAGACCAAAGGTACAGGGCATAAATCAACTTTAACAGACTCATTTGACATAGCCCTACTCTCCCACAAATGACCACTTGGCATATGGTGTGAAGTTAATTACTGTAACAAGTGAATTGCCTCTAAATATCTTTAGGGAAATGGAGGAAGGATAGCGGGAAGGGAGGACGTTAAGAGGAAAGAGGCAAAAGGGGTTACTGCGCTGCCTCCTTGAGCGGCCTCAGCATCCCCCTGTGTCTTCAAGCCTGTGCCATTCCCTCTAGCTGGGTCTTGTCTCCACTGCCCCAGGTACGCCCGGGGTCGGGCTGCAGGCGTCACGTACCACGGTAGCGATGTAGATGATCCTCTGCACGGTCTCCGCCTTGTCGATGCATCGCCGCAGCAGGCACTGGGCATCCAGGCGGGCCTGGGAGTAAGCGTCACTGAACCGGGACAGCAGTGCAGCCTTGCGCGCCACGCTGGACATTTTGGAACGATTCGGGGATGGACTTCTGATCTTGGCGATTGCAACCGAGGGGCTGCCAGAGCGGCTCCCGCTGCGGCTGCGGTTGGGGCTGCAGCTGCGGTTCCGGCTGGGGCTGCGGTTGTGGCTGCGGCTGCGGTGGCGACTGCTGCTGCGGTTGCGGCTGGCGTCGCGGCTGCCTCTGCGGCTGGGGTCGCGGCTGCTTCTGCGGCTGTCTCTGCGGATGGGACTGCGGCTGTCTCTGTGGCTACGCTGGACGGGGCTAGGAGACCGGCTTCTGGCAGACCTGCGAGTGAACGGCAATCAGCTGTCCCTAAACTCTGTTTCTTGTCCCCCACATCGTCCATAGATGACACACTGGAGTCCTGCTAGAACAAGCTACATAGAATAAGGCCCTCCCTCTACCAGGCCTGTGAGAAGACTCTCCAGAGGCCTCAAAGGTGACAAGAAACAACACTTTGTATTTGCCTAGTGACTGTCTCTAAACCCTTTCATTCATGCACCAACTCAATTTGGCCTTTCAGCAGCCTTGGGAGGCAAAATCTTTCACTGTTGACCATTTTTCAGATGAGGGCTTGGAAGTTATAAAAGATGACTAATAGGACCATCTTGGGAGTAGCACTACCATCAAGAGCCAGAGCAGAAGTCTTGGCATTTCTTACCTTGACCTTGGATTACTAACTCATCCCACTGTACCACATACAAGCCTTCTGGTTTAAACTACGTTGTGACCAAGTACAAAGTAAAGTATCAGATTAGTAGGGTTGGGAATGTGGCTTGCCTAGCATGCATGAAGCCCTGGGTTCGATTCCTCAGTACCACATAAACAGAAAATGCCAGAAGTAGCTCTTTGGTTCAAGTGGTGGAGTGCTAACCTTGAGCAAGATAAACTCAGGGAGAGTGCCCAGGTCCTGAGTTTAAGCCCCAAGACTAGCAAAAAACAAACAAACAAAAAACATATATATATATATATATATATATATATATCAGTCTGATATAGATATTAGATATATATAGATATATCAGACTAATAGCCAAAAGAAAATAGGTCTCCCAAAGGAAAATCTTAGAGGAAAAAACAACAACAATGATGGTGCAAAAGGTAGTGTAAAAACAGTGTAGCGGGGAGGTGGGGGGGGGGGGGGCTTTTTCTAATTTTCACCGTGCAAACACACCAGGCAGAAAGGCATAGGCTCTTAGAAGCCATTACAAGTTAATATCAGGACACTATTACCAGAGAATTACCAAACAAAAGCTCAGGTAGGTTACATTTAGGAGAACATGGATGGGCAAAGGGTAGTGGTGCTTTGATAGCCTAAATCAGGACATGTTGGGGTGTGTAGAAAGAATAAGAGAAGTACAAAGGCTAAAAAGAGAAGCATACTGCTTTGTCTCCACTAACACTGTCTTAATGAGCTGCCTCATCTGTCCATTAGTAGGAAAAGATTTCACAAGAACATAACTTACACATGCCAACCAAGAAAATAAAATGTACAGTCATCCCTAGAAACAGGACTCCTATGCCTCAGAGAAGAGAAACGACCTGGATATTATAGAACATTTTTAGTGTTACCAGCAGCCTAGTTCCAGGCTTTCAAAAAACCTTTTCCTTCTCATATCTCTCAATCCAAAATAAATTAGTTCCAAGTTTCTCTGTCTGGAAGCATACAGTTTAAGCGAACTTGTGCTTGTAAGTCACAGCTCCTCCCAGATTATTGGGGTTTGAGATTACAGTGTCATTTTACTCACCCATCCAACTCACCCATCCACCTACCCCCAGCCATTCAGGCTTTTACCACTAACTCAGACGAGAGAGAGACACAGAGAGACACAGAGGGACACAGAGAGAGAGCACGCTTAAAGTAAATGATCTATGAGAGTTTGCCAGACCTTCCTTGGAGACCAGTCTTTTCAGAAGACAGAACAGCTATCTCATCCTTCAGGTTTCGGACCTGTTTCTCATAGTCAGCTATCTCTGAGTTCCGCTGCTCTGAAGCTCGGGGTTCTGAGGGCCTCTTGTCTGTGTGTCGCTGTTCTGAGGTGCGCTTGAGGGAACTACGTTCTGATCTGTACTGTTCTGAACGTCTAGGTTCTGAGTTTCTGTGGCGGGCATCCTCCTGGGCTTGAAGTGTTTTAAGCCTGAACAATGAAGGGAGGGAGTGGGATGAAAGGGAAGGAAAGGGCACAGGAAAAGGGAAGGGCAGAAAAGAGAATGGGAAGAATGGAGAGAGGGAGGAAAATAAACAACTATTAACATGCTTAATGTTACTGGGTGGTAAACTTGGATGAAAATATATACGCACACGAACACTAATTAATGGAGAACAGAACTGTTAGAGTCAGGGTGCCAGGTCACTCTGGCAGCTTCTGGGGGAAAGGATTCTAAAGAAAGGATCTTCCTGTAGGGGGTCTTCTAGGAAAAGTCTACATTGTACTCAGTTGCACAAAACTCTCAAACATTTGATCTTGGAATCTAATCCAAGCTGATCTAGGATATAATCTCCTACTCTCACTGGCTCTTTAAATTTTTATTTAATTATTTAGTCATTCATTGTGTGTGTGCCTTTCTTGGAGCTTGAACTCAGGGCCTGGGTACTATCTCTGAGCTCTTCTTCTCACTTGAACCAAAGCTCAACTTTGGCTTTTTGGTGATCAACTTGAGATAAGAGTCTCATGGACTTTCCTGCCCGGGCTGACTTTGAACCACAATCCTCAGATCTCAGCTTCCTGAGTAGCTAGGATTACAGGTGTATGAGCCCAATTTTGTTGTGTTTTCTTATGAGTTCAACTTTTTGAACACATGAAATACAGGGGCAAACTACAATGGAAATACAATGATATTCACAAGACTCCTGAAAGTGTGGACCTATAAAAATAATGCAGCATAGAAATAGACAAATAAAATTTTAGAAATAAAGTTGGCTTCCTCATTAACATCTATAGAGGCATGGCCACCATAAAACAGAAGTGAGCCAGGTGCCTGTGGCTCATACCTGTAATCCTAGCTACTCAGGATGCTGAGATCTGAGGATCCTGGTTTGAAGCCAGCCAGGGCTGGCTCTGAGACTCTTTATCTCCAATTAAATCATAGAAAAAGCTGGAAGTGGAGCTAAGGCTCAAGTGGCAGAATGCTAATTAGCATCTTTTGCTCAAAAAGGAGCTCAGCGACAGCACTCAAGCTCAGAGTTCAAGCCTCAGAACTGGGGGGAGGGGGGGCAGGGCGGGGAAGCAGAAGTAAAAGTCTAAGAACATTTTATGATACAACTAATTGTGGTATAAGATGAAAGGTAAGAGATGAAGTTATGAAGGATGTAGAGAATGTAAAAATGTAATCTCTGGGGCTAGGAAGGTGGCTCAGTGGTAGAGCGCTTGCCTTGCATGCCTGAGGCCCTGGGTTCGATTCCTCAGCACCACATAAGCAAAAAAAGAAAAAAAAAAGCCGAAGTGGCTCTGTGGCTCAAGTGGTAGAGCGCTAGCCTTGAGCTAAAGAGCTGAGGGACAGCGCCCAGGCCCAGAGTACAGGCCCTACGACCAGACCCAAAAAAAAAAAAAAATGTAATCTCTGATTAAAAACTACCCTGGAAATGACATAGAATTGAATTGGTTCTATAAGAAATCAATGAAGGGGCTGGGAAGGTGGCTCAGTGGTAGGGCGCTTGCCTTGCATGCCTGAGGCCCTGGGTTCGATTCCTCAGCACCACATAAGCAAAAAGAAAAAAGCCGGAAGTGGCGCTGTGGCTCAAGTGGTAGAGCACTAGCCTTGAGCTGAAGAGCTGAGGGACAGCACCCAGGCCCAGAGTTCAGGCCCCACGACCGGACCCCCCCCCAAAAAAGAAATCAATGAAATGGGAAATAAAATTGTTCCATACAAAGGTTTGTGGGTACTATCAAGACTATTGTTTTCACAACATGTATGAAGCCAATTAAGTGGTAGTATGTGTGCATAGTATGTGTCTGTGTGTAAATATGCTTCCTGCTTGCTCTTTTAAAGTGAGAAGAGTCAAAATTAAGGTCTACAAAGGTAAAACCTTAAAGAATTTGTTCATTTTCCCCTTCCAGAAATTGATCTTTAGGAAATAATCTAAAATCCAAATTGAGATTTTCATTTTTTCTTTTTTTTTTGAGATTTTTCTACAAAATCATTCTAATGTTGTTTCTATGGTAAAAATTAGTATTCAATTGAACATTTAACATGAAACTACCCAAAGACAGGAAGTGATGAAACTATTTAAAACTAAGTTCTGCAGTATTTCTTTTCTTAGTAATAGAGAAAAACAATGCTAAATAAAAATGTAGGTTCCAAAAATGTATATGTGCATGCTTAATTCTGCATTCATCACTCAGTTTTAATATACTAATGGAAGAAATACCAGAATTATAAGACAGTTTTTATATTCCTTTATATAATACTGCATTTTAGAAACTGTCTATAGTTGACAGGAAATATTTTGTAGTAAAAATATACTAATATTTAGGAAGCATTGCCTCTAATCACAAATACATTCTTTCATATTGCAATGACACACCAAAGAAAAGCTAAATTCAATGATTAAACAACCTATCATTCTTTTTTCTTTTTTTGGGGGGGGGAGGTCCGGTCGTGGGGCTTGAACTCTGGGCCTGGGTGCTGTCCCTCAGCTCTTCAGCTCAAGGCTAGCGCTCTACCACTTGAGCCACAGCGTCACTTCAGGCTTTTTTCTTTTTGCTAATGTGGTGCTGAGGAATCGAACCCAGGGCCTCAGGCATGCAAGGCAAGCGCTCTACCACTGAGCCACCTTCCCAGCCCCTATCATTCTTTTTTCTTACTGCTTCTTTAGTTGATTTATTTCCTCCTCTGCAGCCAAGAGAGATACAGTTGATCTGTTCTTGGATTCTTCAAGAGGCTTTCCAGCCTCAGGCAAACTGTAATAGAAATCAGTAGTTAAAAACATATTTTTCAAAATTGGTAGACTTTCCAAATAAGGCATAGATTCTCTCAGGAACTTTTCACATATGACACACATTCAATATAAACAGAATCAACTTACAAGACATCTGCATTTAATCAGACATATTAGAAATGTTACGGTGGACTTTGGTACAAACAAGACACTTGTTCAGTTTATCCTTCTCACCCTCCTAATTCACCTGCTCTAATTCTCTCATATCCAACCTCATATACAGTTTAGGCCCGTATAAAAAAATCTCCAGTTTTTCCTGCAAGTTACCATTACTTATACTCATTATTTTTCACTGTGGAGCTGCATTTTAACCTTTGTTTTTCTAAGACTTCCTAAATGTATAAAATTTGCTTGCCCATCTGTGAAGAGAGTCCTCAAAAATCACACTTGATTATCAAAACTCCCATGTTTTCCTGTATCTGATTTCTACCTGAATATGATTTCCTTGAGTATTCCAAATAGCTCAGTCACCACTAACATCAAAGACTCTCTTCACTAGACAAAACATACTCAATCATACTCGTACTTTAGATCTCTTTAAATTTAGAAATGTGGGATAGTAAACATTGGATGAAGATTACTGATTCTCAATGAAGCTCCCTTATACAGTAAGGCGTAATTGTCTGACAAAGAATGCCTGATTTCTGTGAACTGCATCCCTGAAAAATCCAGATTCTTTCATCGCAGAAGTTATGAGACCATGAGAGTGCAATTCCTTTTAGTGGAAGAACAATGGAAAGTAAAACACTGGGGGGTTCTGTTAGAAGAACAATGGAAGGTAAAACACTGGCGGGGGGGGGGGGGGGGTGGGGGGGGGTTCTGTTAGAGTATAACCTTAAAAGTCTCCCAAAAACTAATGTGTTAAAGGCTTGATCCCAAGTTGGTAGATGATTGAAGGGAAGTTTATACCTGGAATTAACTACATCCTTTACACAAAAAGGAAGACAATAAACCTGAAAAGACCAGAAATTGACTGACATGGTTAAAACAAACAGAAGAACCTCAAAGAAATTATTTTGTATACCTACCCATTTTAACTGCTGTAGCTTTACAACTGCTCTTTAGCTATGGATAGCTGAGTGCATACAAAGGAAAATGTTTGTGAATAGCGTGCAAACACATGCAAAGGAAAATGACTGAGTAAAATATGCCAAAATGTTCACAGGGGTGAACTTTCATATTTGCACTCATATTGATTCCGTGCATTTGAGAAGAAAATTGTATAATTTTTATATCAAGCAAAAACTAGATAGAGACGTTTTCCTTGTGGAAAGAAGAAAGGAAATCAGATCGAGAGAACAAAGCAGAATTCTGCATTGACACATTATTCTGTCACAAGCATTAACTAGTTAAAGCAGACTTCCTTGCTATCCCATTCCTGCAAAAGGCTATGGTAGCCAAAACCCCTTATAGGGTTTTGAATGCCATTTCATACATATTTGTCTATCTTCATCAAATTCAAACCCAAAGTCTGAAAGTTTCTCTGCAGTACCTCCCACACTTACTACCCTGACTTATATGTCCAGTGCAAGCATCTGATTCCTGTTGTTGCCTGGAACTGCCTAACTATTTTAATACATTTTAAAATACATTCTTAAACTTTCTAAATTTTCTAAACTCTTGCCTAGTTTGTTTTTTTTTGTTTTTGTTTTGTCTCCTTTTGTTTTGTGCTGGTAGGGAGGCTTGAACTCAGTGCCTAGGCACTGTCCTTTAGCTTAGCCACTCAAGGCTAGAACTCTACCATTTGAACCACAGCTCCAGTTCATTTTTTGTTGTTAGTGTTGGTGTTGTTAACTCTGACTTCTCTGAGGCATAGTCTCCTAAAAGCCTATTTACAATAGATGGATGCTGATACTTATCTCATCTTTCACCCTCTTTCATCTTTTCATCTTTCATCCCTTTCCTATCAGCATCTTTCTCCCAATGGGTAAGATGTTTTTCTAAACAATCTTCACTTGTTTATAAATATGAGCTGATGGTGGGACTATGAAGAAGGAGCTAAAGGACCAGGGATCAGAGAATAATATAGCTGTCCCACTGTTCCTACCCTTAGACATGGACCCTGATCCCCTCCCTCTTCTCCATCTCTCCCCCATCCCTCCCTTTTCCCTTACACACACACACACACACACACACACACACACACACACACGTGTACACGCACACCATGTTACTTTTTGCAAATGCCCACATTTTAAATGAACCATTATTCTTCTCCAATATATAAAGTATGACTAAATTATAAACAATTCTTTTTGGAAAAAGATAACTTGCATTCCTCTTACTCGTCTTGAACCTGGTTGAGTTGTTCACGGGTTTCCTTCATGTCATTGTCTAATTGTTGTAGGTCTACATCCTGTATATTAGTGTCTTTATTTTTCTCCCTATCAAAGGTATTCTGGAAAGATACAGAAATCAAAAGGTAGTCTGAATACATGAAACGACATGAGTAAATCACAAAACCACTGAGCTAAGCAGTCAGCCACACAAAGAGAATGTGTACCATGACTCTATGGGCATGAAGCTCTAAAACCCAATCTAAAATGAAAGGAATTCAAGAGCAGCTGCCTCCAAGGTTACACAAGTTAACACTCTGGAGGAGTAACAGAAACATTTATCTCGCAAGGATGTGAATTTCATTGGCATATTTGCCATAATTTATCAGCCTGAAGATTTCACTGTTCTATAAATTATACCTTTATTTATATTTTTAAAAAAAGACTTTGATGCACACTTCTACATCTCTATACACAGAATCAATCTGAGAATCATACAAAACTCCTCGGGGAAAGAACTGCCAAATGACATGGTCCTTACCATGTACCAGTACCTCGGGTAATGAACCTGTTGTTAGGGCAGCAAAATCATTGTCCCCAGTCAGCCCAATAAGAAAACAATTTGTGTTTATAAATAGTTAAATAATTACCCAGGGCCATGGGATAGGATCTGGTTTCCTGCCCACTGATCTTTAAACTGAAAGCCTTTAGTCACTGTCTTGTAAAACCCTCCTGCTAGAAAAGCCTGCTCTGCATGCTTGAGTTTTAGAAAGGAAATGTATGTCAATCCAGTTAAACCTTTCAAAGTAAAGTTTCTGGCTGTGATGGTTTGGACATGGCTTGAGTATGTCCTCCAAGGGTTTGTGTGTTAGGTCCCAGTTAAGAAGCAGGGCCTAATGGGAAGTACTTGCATCATTGAGGACTCTGTGCTTGGAAGGGACATGACATTCTGGTTCGTTTCTTAAAGAGAGGATGTTATAAAAGAGCAAGCCAGACTTTTTCTGTATGCTAGCTTCCTTTCTGGCCATCTGACATCTCCCTTTTATATGAATTCTTGCTGGTGACACCCCCCTCCCTATCCTACCCCCCCCCCCACTCCCATGTAGTCCCTGCTGGAGTCAGTACCAGGCTGTTGGGGTTTTCAGCTTCTAAAACTGTGAGCTAAATAAGCTTCTTTTCTTTATGTATTTCCCAGCTTTGGGTATTTTGTTGTGGCAACAGAAAATGTCCTAATACACCAATGTTTTCTTTATTTAATGCTTAAGTATGCTATGTATTATCTTTCTAGTCTAGTCTCTGTTTGAAAACGGACACTGTCCCATAGAAACCAATATCAATATCAAATTGTGACACTCTGCTAAGTTTTCTTTTTATCTTAGATGTTCCAAGTTTAATGCACTGTTTCACAAAGTCAGGGGTCAGTGTTGGAGGTGCAGCTCAATGCTACAGTGATTGCCTAATATACTCGTGGCCCTGGATATGATCCCCAGCACCACCCAAAGCAAAATTAAAAAAAATAACCACACACAAAAAGTCAAGGGTCATCCTTTAGCATTCGTACCTGTAGAGAAGGGACTTTACTGTCAAGAGCTTTTCCTGTTGAAGCAGCAGTAAAAGCAGCTTCCAGCCAAGGCAGAAGACGTAGTTTGATTATTTCCACACCCTCATTATGTCCTCCTAAAAGAATGGCACACATATATCAATCAGGTCAGCAAGAGAAACTCAGCCACATCTTCTTAGCTAGAGGACACAAAAAAGCAGGAGAGGAGAAAAGAGAAAGGAAGGAGGGAAGAAGGAAGAGGAGAAAGAAGAAAGAAGAGAAAGGAAAAGAGGAGGAAAGGGAGGTAGAGTAGGACAGAGAAGCACAGGCAGCTCTCACCTTCTTGGGCTGCTGATGTGAGAATTGTGAAGAGCTGTCCCTGCAATTTGGCAACTTGTTCAATAAGTTCAAGGCAAATATTCAGGTTTTCATCGCATGTGTTTTTCTGTAAAGCCAAAATAGCAGATATCAGTACAGCAATTTCATTCTTAAAACTGAGTAGACCTTTTGTAGCAACAAAAAACTGCTGCCTCATTTATCTGCTTTATTGTTTATGGTCTCTACATAATTTTATATGTACTATATATTATGTGTGTATAGCTATATATGTGTGTGTGTGTATATATATATATATATATATATAAGCAAAAAGAATGCTACTTATTTAATAAAGCTTTGTTGAGTAGAGAATACCAGGAGAAAGACAAAGAGATGGCACTCACCAAATAGTTCATGGACAGGAGACTCCAAAGTCACCCTGTAGTGGGATAGTAAGTCTTCCTATACGGATGAGAATCAGGTCTATTCAACAGACTATTGTATTAAAAGTCAGGAAAGGCTTCCAAGAGGAAGCAAATTGAGTCCGAATAGAACTCAGATGGACTTGGGGAAGTAGGTGATCGAGCAGCTGTATATCGAGCCTTCTAAGTGGTAAGTACAGGCAATAGGGAGGTGGAAAACTGGGCCTTTCAGCTATCATTCTGCTTTGGTCAGTATCTGGTGATATTTTACCATTTCATCAAGCTTCTAATTGATTCCAACACTAAAAGAGGACTGTAAGTAACAAATCATGTGCATGTAGAAATGCACAGATAAATGTCACCTCAAGTCATAATAAAGTATACTATCAGTATCCTCTGGACACCACAAATTGCAAAACAAGGAGGACAGTAACTCGAGAGAAAAGAAGCAATTTGCATGATCTGTAGGCAAGAGTTTACAGGGAAAATATATGTCTGTGTCTCCAAGAGGAATGGTCTACAACAAGCAGAAACCCCTTTAAGAATAGTGACTTAGCCCATCCTGTGCCTTCCTGTTCCTAAGCTCTGCATTCTCGGCAGTGACCATCCAACCAACCTCATTGTATACAGAATGGATGAATGAAAATGAGAAGACTTACTCACCTTGTTTTTACTACTAATCTTCCCTATGCTAGCCACTAGTAGTGCTTTACACATATATACTCAGCCCATTATAAGAAGGGATATTGTTATTGTTACATTTTCAGATAGGAAAGTTAAAGTTCAGAGAGTTAAGTAATTTGCCCCTAAAACTATCTATATAGATTGACGCCCAAGCAGCCTGGTTCTGGATCCCATGTTCTTTCATACTAACACATACTAACTTTTTGATTGGACAACGTGAAAAAACAATGATTCGAAAGGACAGTCGGGGAAGGGCTTCCCCAAGTAGGAACACAACCTAGATCCTGAATGAGTGAGGGATGAGAAATCACAAGAGAAAAGCAAGTCCAGGAAGTGGGAATGGCCAGGGCTGAGGCCCTGAAGGCAAAAAACAAGTGTGGAAACCTGAGGACCGAATGCAGGGGGGATATGGCAGAAGCAACAGCCAGAGAGAATATATCCTAAAGGGCTTTGCAGAACTGTCGGCAGTTTCGATGAATGGGCTCATAGCAAGGCAGCTGGCTTATTATTTTCCATGCTTGGTAGACAGTACCTCGCAACTGGTTCTGTTGTAGACCTAATTCCTCTGGCAGCCATATTGTCCTTCACCCCATCCCTCTATCTGCTCCCCAAAAACACAAATTATTTTTCTGTCTTATATTTGTATTCATTAGTATCCTTTGAGAGATCCAAGTAATGTTTGGTGAGTGGTTTACCATCATTCTGACATGCTCAGAATACCTGAAACCCAGAGCATGAGCAGCTACGACCATTCCTTCCTCACTGAACCAGCAGCTCCTTGCCCTGACCAGTTCATACCTCACTATTACACTCAGCTTCAATTATTTGCCTACTAGCCTTTTGCCCTTGGTTAGATCGTGCCATTGGCTAAAAGAACAGAAGAAGGGGGCAGGGGGAGTCAAGACGTGCATCTCAGCCACTTATCATAGTTCTATGTGACCCTACACAAATTAGTTAACCTCTCTGAGCCTGTTTTCTCTACCATACAATGAGGATAATGATGCTTTGTAGATTGTTAGGAGAACTAAATCAAAACAATGCATGACCAGCACCATGGAGACAGAAAGTATTCAACAACTGGATGCTATTGAGATGGTATGAAACATCAAAAGGAGGTTAAGGTTGAAGAATCAGGCAGATCATGGACTGGGCATGGTGATGTATGCCTTTAATCTTAGCTACTCAGGAAGTGTAAGTAATAAGATTACAGTCCAAGGCAGGTCTGGGCAAAAACACAAGACTCCAAGGAGCTGGGTATATGGCTCAAGTGGTAGAGCACCTTGACTAGCAGCTGCAGGATCCTAAATTCAGAGACCTAGTATTGGAGGCTGTCAGTCATTAGAAAACACATTTAATAGGAGCCTCTATTGAATTTTGGAGGTAGTTGATCTCGAAAGCTAACTCAAGCACAAAGTCTGGCACAATAATTAGAGGTATTACCTCAATGTCATGACTGTCCACTCCTGTGCCTTGTGGATATTCAGAGAAATGTTTATGCACATACGTATCAGAATAGAACGCTATGTATACTGTTCCACTCCCAAGACATGTCACAACAGGCCACCACTTCTCACACAAAGTATGGTACAAGACACTTAGGTTACAATAGGGTCACATTATCCAAGTAAACATAAACCAATATAAGATAAATAAAGCAAGCACATGAACTAAGGATACTGTACTCAGGGACTATAGTTTTTCTCCACTCAAAAACCATCAAACTCCTATTATAATTAAGAACCTCTGACAAAGCTTCATTTTAAAAAAAAAAAAAAGTTGCCTGAAGCCAAAATATTGAGCAGCTAGAGAAGCAGGGTGGAGAATGAGAAGCACACAAGGATCACCTCTGGGTATGTTACATGCTCTTGTGGACAGTGAACTGTAGGTATAACACAAGAAGCTCCAGGGAAAAATTAAAGGAAGGAAAGAAGGGCTTTTCCAGGGGAAGAACAGCAAGAACATAGGCAGGAAGTAGTAGGTTCATCAAGTGAGTACAGGTCCAGAGACTAAATCTGAAAGCCTTAACTTTCCACATAAATGGTTCTGGGTTTTATCCTATGAGGAAAAAAATCTAAGAAAACAAGTGAGGGCAGTGATGTGTCAGTTGTTGGCAACTTACAAAAAATCTCTCCGTGGGAGCAGAGCACAGAATTTGAGCTAGTGAGAACAAACAGTAAGGGTGGATGCATTGGATGGGGAGATTTTATGAAGGAACTAAAAAACAAGACAGTATCCACACTTGATGGTCAGGAACTTCTGTTTGAACAGGAGTGATGAGGAGATGGGAATAAAACCACTGCCCTCTTATTTTCTTTCCACATACTGTGTAACTTCTGGGAGGAGGAACCGTTCATCACCACCTTTACTTCTTCAACTCCATGTGTTCCTCAACCTGGTACAATCTATAAATACCATAACCCCCTGACGCTACTATAATTGGTGTCAATACAATCACTAGAGGCCACATGAGGGCAAGTCAAATACAAGCTTTTTTTTCTAGCCTTTATCTTGTTTGATTCTCTAGAGCATTAGTGACTTTCCAGATGCTAGTGCCTTCTCCTCCTTCCACCACAGAGGGATTGTGATGCCATTGTCCAACCCACGGCCAGGGACAACACCCAGGCCCTGAGTTAAAGCCCCAGGACAGGTACACACACACACAAACACGCACACACGCATGCACGCACGCACGCACACACACACACACACACAAATCTTTCATAGTATTCTTTTAAAATATAAATGCTATTACAACATCAAATGCTCCCCTATTTTTATTTTAGTAAAAAAATAAACCTGCCAGGTGCCGGTGGTTCACGCCTGTAATCCTAGCTATTCAGGAGGTTGAGAGCTGAGGATTGCAGTTCAAAACCAGCCCGGGCAGGAAAGGCCTTGAGACTCTTATCCCCAATAAGCCACTCAGAAAACTGGAAGTGGCACTATGGCTCAAGTGGTAAAGCGCTTGCCTTAAGCTGAAGAGCTCAGGAACAACGCTCAGGCCCAGAGTTCAAGCCCCATGACCAACAACAAAAAATAAAAAAAAAATAATAAACCTTCACATTGCAGATAAAAAGAATGCTATTCCTATTTGGCCAATCAAAGAAGTCATAGACAAGTACATTAAACAGAAGGTGGGGTTTTTGCTTTCTTTTGCAGATAACCAAGGGAATTCACACATCGAAAAAAACTCTAATTTCTATCTTTAACCTCACACTGGTTCTGGGGGGGTTGAAGAGGACGGCAGCAATGCCCATTATGAGTAAATTGAATGTCCTTATATCTGCCCATCCTCTGCATGATGTAATAGAATGGGCACAGCATGCCAGATACCTCATGCCAACTTAAGCTGCACCTTCTAGCCAGCTGTAGGCTTCTCTACTAGATTTCATTGTCTTGACCCCACAGTGAATATTTCTATTGGTCTTTTTCAGTATTTATTCTCCTTAATATTAAACAATATTGTTTGTATCAACTCTGTGAAGAATACCTAAATCACTTGCCAATTTCTTTGGCAGCCATGAATTCATTACTAGTAACTATAAATATTCCATCCATCTTCCCACATTATCTCAAGAGGCATTACAATTAGATTGGAGCCACATTATTACATGTACATGCACATTAATGACATTTCTGATGACAATGGGCCACATTGAAAGAGTAGTCCAAGATTATGTTATCTAGTGATGTTATGTGGACTTAGT